GCGGGGGGTGTTGAGGGGAGCCTGAGGCAGAAGTTTCCAGATGAACACGGGCCCTGTGGCAGCGTCTCTGCTCCCCCAGCAGGCAGGCTCTGGGAAGCACTGGGTCAAGTGTTGGATCCTAATAGCACCCCCCAATTCTCCTCAGCCTGGACCTCCCGGGGGGAGTGGGCAATGGGCAGCACTGGTGTAGGGAAAGTCATCTCTGCTGCACCCTTTCCTCAAGAGGGCAGCTGAAGCCGGCTCCTCCCGCGGCAGGAAGTGGACATCTGGCCTTCTCTGACTTCTCCTTCCTCCCGGAAACTTTGGGAACTCGGATGAGACTGGCCTCGGCAGGACCTGGGCCTGACTACGTGAGGCCAGAGGACGGATGCTGGAGCCTGGGGAATTGGCTGAGGACCAACACCGAACACTCCTTCTTCCCAACCACCAGGCCCAGAAGGGCCAGAGCCCTGGGCTGGCCAGGGTGGTCTGGGCAGCTGGTGTGTTGCGGCTTGGCTACTTACCAGAAGTAAATCACTTAGTTTCCCTGTTTCTTCCCCTCCACCAAGGTTTGTTGACATCCTCTCATTTACTCTGCACATTTTGTTCTGTAAACTGGAGAAGGAGAGGCACTGTCTGTTGGGAGTGGCTCCAAGGAGAGAAGGAATAAGGAAGGAACGGTGCCCTCTTCTGGCCCCTTGGCCTGCATTCGAGGCCAGTGGTTAGATAGTATAGTTACCAGCAGGACAGTCTCTTTGTCTAGAGGTCCTGGGGCCTAAGCCATTGTGCTTCCTGGCCCTGGGGACCTCGGACCCCTGTGTTAGGGAAGATGCTGGTCTCCTCGCCTCTCGTCCAAGGTCTGGGGCTCTAGGGGCATCAGAAGTCCCCCTTCACCTGGGCATTAGCTTTCTCACCAGAGTTATAATTAGGACAGTAGAGCGGGGGATGCAGACATTCCTTCAGGTAGCTTCACGGCTTCTGGCAAGTTCTAGAGCAAGAGCAGACAAACATGACAAGAGGGCCAGTGGTGGCTGCTGCACACAGGCTGGTCTGGGAGCAAGGAAATCCCCCTCTGAGAGCTTCACGGAAACCCCGGAAGGTGGGCCAGTGGGGTGACTTCTCGAAGGTCTTTGGCTGAGGACTTGATAGGGCAAGAACAGGAATTTTGAATTTTTGTCAAAATGATGTGGTTTTTCTGAATCCAGGAGCTGGCAAGGTCTGGCCACCTCTGTGCCTGGGGAAGCACAGGGATCTTGTGAGGAAACACCGGGATCACACATATCTGAGGGACCAGTCCGGTGCCTGGCCTGAGGTAAGGCTCTCAAATGTTTGTTTCATTTCAACCACAAAGAAGTTCAGGTCCCTTGATTTATCCAGAAGAAGAATTCATCCAGAAGGGCGTAGAAGTGGGGACTAAGAGGTATGTAAGAGACCTTTTCTTCGAAAAGTAGGAGACCCAACTGAAGGCTCCACTAACTTCTGGTGTGGCCATAGGAAGTTGAGGTAAGTCACCTAACTTCTCTGGGTCTCAGTTTGCTCATCTATGAAATGAGGGAGCTGGGTGAGCTTGCCTCTGAGGGCTTCTCCACGCTCACCCGAAGGGGCCTCCTCAGCAGCAGGCCTTCCACTTCATCTGTGGGGAAACTGAGGCTCCAGAGGACAGGTCCCCTGGGCCTGCCTACCTCTACCCAGGTTTTCTGGTCAGAACTTTCTGGACAGGTACTGCGGACTCTTAGGCCTGCAGTCTGGGAAGAGCCGGGAGCCGTCCTCTCGGGGTTCGCTGCCTTGTCAGCGTCAGCAGTGAGACAGGGGAAATTGAGGACCACAGCGGCACATCTTAAATCAAAGCCCGGGCCATCAATCTCCTAGAACAGACTGAAATCACAAGGTGGGTGGCGTGGACCGCCAATGGATGGACAGGCAAGAGATATTAAAAAACTGAAATCTCCAGCCCCCAAATCCCTTAACCAATTTCCAAACACCCCAGGGGCCTGCCTGCTGAGCAGAGGTAAGGACATGTATAATATTAGAAACCTCCAGGAGGGCCTGGGGGCTCTATTTCAGGAAAACCCCTCTAGGGGCTGGGGGCTTCTGAAGGCCCTCTCCTCCTGCCCTTCCCCGCAGGCACCCTCACTAGACAGGCTGACTGACTGTGGCCAGGCAGAGTGGGGAAGCAGGCGCGGCCAGACGGCTCACTCCAGTGTGTGCGCTGCTGCTCAGCATCTCTGCAAACCCAGACAAGCTGCTTAAACTCTTTGGCCCTCAGTTTCCTCATCTGTAAAGTGGAAATGGGAATACCTCTTTCCTAGGGTTGTTTTGAAAGTTAAACAAAATAATCCACACAAAGCAAACAGCACAGTGCCTGGCACGAGGTAAGACCTCAAACATCAGCCGTGAATATTAACCTTTCTATTATCACACAGATAAGCCCAGTCTGGCTACTGCTGCTTCTCACAGGCTCTTCTGCTCTTTTGCCATTTTATACCCTCTCCATCCCTCAAGTTTAATGGCTGTCTCCTCCAGGAAGCCCTCCCCAAAATAACTCTCCAAGGTTCTATCCTCCTCTGAACTCCAAGTCTTGTGTACTTGATAACATTGGCCACAAAGGTTCTGTCCCACTTCATTGTCTGGGATCCCATTCCCCAAGCAAAGGTCTTTGCTTTTGTTTTCGGCCTCCTCTTCTCGCCTTCTCCCCGGCCCATGTCACTTGCCACAGTACAGTGCACACAGTAGGTTGCTCATGAAACAGGCATGCTTGTTATCGATTGGAACATTTCAGGAAACTGGAATCAGAATCCTGGTGTTCTTGAGACCAGGATTTATGTCTATTTTTAGAGTTTAAATATTCTTTAAAAAATTTCCAAATTCCACTCCATCTTTACATTACAACCCCACCAATCTTTTCATGTCAGCCAGACATACATTTCTCTCCTTTCCACCCAAAATACACCAGAATTTGAAAAATGAGGCGCTGGATCTGAGAGTGTGAGATAGAGAAGGTGTTCTCTAAACCTTGACTATTCTTGTCAGGCTGAAGTCTCAGGGAGGGATTAGCTCTGGGTGAAGGGGAAGGTTCTGATGGCTCAGCTCGGTGTTGTTAGAGGTTGGCTTTCTACAGAGGGACAAGTGGAATTTTGAAACACAAAGTCCTTGCTTCTGGAAGGTCAGTACTCTTGTGAGCCATCCCGGAGCACTGTCACTCTGTGGGGGGCAGGATGGGAAACAGATCTAGTCACCTTGAAATCTGGTTGGAGGACCAGCACAGCCAACCTCCTGGCTGTGCTGGGTGGAGGTCAGATGGGGCAGAAGCAAGGCAGGAAAACACACCAGAGGTGATCTGGGATCACACTGGCTCACACCCTGGCTTGATGAGGATCCGCTGCCAGACTCTAGGAGGGTAGGTGGGTGGAGGAATTTACAGTTAAGAATTTACAGTTGTCATCAAGACAAATGACCCTTAGTCTGGTGGGATCCTGGGGATGGGGGGTGGGGGGACCCTTCCTACCATCTGGTTCTAGGTGGAGAGAGTTTCTTGATGGTCTGAGTCCTGGGTGAGTGAGTGATGGCTACCCCAAACACCCACCAGCCGATAACAGTAACAGCATGGTGCAATTATTAAGCATTTGCTGTGTGCCCGACACTGTGCTGAGTACTTACATGCATCTTACATCTGGCCTTTCACATCAGCCCCACGAAGTGAGGACCATCTTCTGGACCAGTCAACGGGCACTCCACCTTTCCCAGGCTGCCGGAGTTTTCAAATCCTCCATGGCTCTGGTGCCAGTTGGGAGTGATGGAGAGGCTACAGCTGGAAATCAGAGATCCAGATAGGCGTGCAGATGGAAGCTGACTGCCTTTCTGGGCCTGAGAAGATCACCGTTTGGGAAGAGCTGAGGAGCAGCAGGGGGTCGGGCCACACCACCACCCACCCCTCTGCTGATGAGGAAACAGGCCTCGGTGGTGGCCTGATGGCGGAGCTGGGATTCTCTGCCCTGATCTCCAGCCCTGGGGCCGCTGATCACGTGGTACTCCTCCTGCTTCCCGGGCTTTTCCACTCCCCTCCGAGAGGCCAGGGGTCTGTTTGTCTTGTCACCAATGAGTCCCTGGGGCCCATGTAGGCCTGGCCTTCAGGAGATGTTCAGTCAATATTTGTGCAAAGAACGAAGGACGGAGGTGCTCAGTCTCCTGGCTCTGGCTGTGACGGCCGATCTCCCCTCCAAAAGGGCAACCGTGGCTGCACATTTCCACCTAGGAGTGCCCGCGGCAATCTGGTGGGAAGGGAGTGGGACTGGCCGGGAGACTGTCCCCAGCAAATCCACCTAGTGGTGGCCCCCCTCCACCCCAAGCCACCCCTAAACTCTGCCCAAGAGGCACAACTGGAGCAGGGAAGATGATTCATTTCCACATCTGCGAGGTAAAGGTTGGGGGGAACGGGCTAGGGGTGTGTGTTGGGGGTACTGGCCCCGAAAGGTGGATGACTCCCGTTCTGGGTTCTGGAGTCCCTCCGTGGTGCTGGCTGGGGACGGGGTAGAGGACATCTGGGCCCGGGGCCAGGTTGGGGCTCCAGCCGGACTTCTTGGGGGGCACGCAACCCTGGGTGAGCGCCCTCGGTGGGCGGGCTGGGAGGGTGTGGGAAGAGGTGCCGGCGGGCAGCCCGGGTCTTCGCCTGCCTACCCCCTGAGCCGCGGGGTGTGGGTGTGGCTCCCTCGGGGCGGGGGTGCGGCGGGGGGTGGGATTGGCACGGGAGCCGGCCTACGGAGGGGTCGTCCGGAGCGCCGGAGGCTGGGGCAGCGCGGAGCCGCGCGGGGGAGTGGGAGGGCGTGCGCTGGAGGGGTGGGGAAGAGAAGGGGGCGGGCGGCCGTCGAGAGGCGGGCGGCTTCGGGGGGGGGGGGTGGAGCCCGGACCGCAGCGTCCGCCGCTCGCTCGGCGCTACAGCTGCCGCCGCCGTCTCCGCCGCTGCTCCTGGCTTCGGTCGCAAGGCGGGCGGGCGGGCGCGCTCGGCGAGGCTCCTGCGGCTGCTGCTCTCCTCCGGCGCCCGGGGGTTGCGGCGCGCTGGGTCCCGGCCCCTGGCCGGGTGCCCCTCGGGCCCTCGCGCCCCGGTCCCCAGTCCCGCGCCCTGCCCGGGAGAACGCTCTGCGCTGGCCCGGCCTCCCCGGGCTCGCGCCCCCGGGTCATGAAGAGGGGCCCGTGAGGGGCGCGCGGAGGCGGTGGAAGAGGAGGGAGGAGGGAGGCCGAGGAGGAGGGCGCGGAAGGCGGAGGATGCCGCCGCCGATGCCGCCGCCGCCGCCGCCCGCCGGCCCCCGGCGAGCCTGACTCCAGACCTGAGGATGGAGCCGGCGCTGGGCGCTGCAGCGGCTCCCGGTGCGCCCCCCACCAGGTATCGGCCGGGCCCGACTGGCCCCGGGAGGGCGGGAGCGGACCCTTGCCGCAGCAGCGGGAGGGGCGCGGGCGCGATGGGAGACGCCCCTCCGCTCGAGGACAGTCGCCGCCGGCGGGGCGGGGAGGGGGGAGGACGGCACCGCGCTGGGCGCAGGGAGGGCTCCCCGGGCCGGTGGCGGGTGAGCGCCGCGACCACCCCGGTTCTCCCCGCCCCCATTCGGCGAGGGCAGCAAACTTGAGAGGCGCGGCGGCCCCGAGGCGGCCGGCTCCCCGCGGCTGCGGAGCGCACTTGGGGGGTACCCGGGGCTCGCCGTCCCACAGCCTGACGGGCTCGGGGCTGCTGAGTTTCCTCGAGACCCTGAGATCCCACGCCTGCACCAACTTTCCAAACCAGGGCTGCGCCGGGAGGCAGGGGGCTGCTCTGGGCTTCCTGCCCCTGGCCCAGCTCCAAACGCACCAGTCACTCTGCGATGAGCGGGATGGATGGTGCAGAGACCCCCCCCACGGGAAGGCAGAACCACCTACCCTCCCGCTCTTCCTGGCTAGGACCCTGGGAGCAACCCTTCTCAGGCTCGGGGAACCCATTGCTTGCTTTCACAGTAATAGCCCTGAGTAGCCCTGGCGGGGATGCTAGGGGTTAAAAGGTAAGACCTGAGGATTGTCCTAGGGTGGCACCTTGGCTTGATTTGCTGTGCCACAGGATGCCCCCTCCCCTCCATCCCAGGCCTGCGGGTTCCCAGGATTAGGTTCCTTACATCTGGTGCAGGTTTCCTTCTGATGGACTTAAGCAGGTGGCTCCTAAGAAGGACCCTGAAGCCCAGCATCTTTTGGAGGGCTGGTGGGGCAGGGAGCAGAGGGCATCTAGGATTAGGGGGAAGAGGCAGGCCCCCTGGCTGGGAAAGTAGCTGCTCTGGCAAGCCAAAGGAACGAGGTATTAAGAGGCAAGCAGGTGGGGGCTAAGGTACCAGGTACCTGCCTTCAGGGCTTTCTGGATCCCTTGTGATGGGGCCAGCTGTCTTAGGCAGAGACCTTACCTGGACAGGCAGTTCCAAAGCTCCAGTCCTCAACAACTGGGGACATTCACAGGCATCACCATGACCCTGTTTCTTTTTCCAAGTGTTCTCACCGACATGACTCACACATTGGATTCACCAGGGAGGTATCAAGCCTCCAACCTGCTCCCTTCCCCTCCCTCCTGGGTCTTCAGGGAGCAGCTAGGGAAAGGAGGGGGCGGATTTGCCCTTGGGCCTTAGCCACCCCCCCCATCCCCAGAGTGGCCCTCCACCGTAGATTTTCATTTCCCTGCTATGTCTCCGTTGGGGGCAGGTGAGCTGTCCTAGGCCAGGGTGGGGGCAATGGGGAGGAAGTCTCTGCTAAAGATCCCCCCCCCAACCCTGCTGGGGCTTTGAAATCTTGGCCACGCCCCCCCTCCTGGCACCTATACTTAACACAGCCTCCTCATGTCAAAGCAGAAACACATTTCCCCCCTAAAATCTAAATTTCCCTCTTTGCTAAATATTGCAATGCTTTTAGCCAGAGGTTTCCTCCTCTGCACTGGAAGTCAAGCTCCTCTTGCAGACAGCTTTCCTCCTCCGTGGCCTCTCAGCCACCTCTGCTATGTTCAGGCCCTAAGTAGGAAAGATGCAGATCCCCCTTACCTCTCTGCCCCCCACCCTCAGGGTCCTAATTCCAGAGGAAGGGCAGCGCTGCGCTCCTGGTGCTGACATAAGGGTCATGTTTGCTGGCTGCAGACACACCGAGGTGTATATTTGTGCTCCCCTGAGTCTACAGAGGGGCCCAGAAGGCAGGTTCTCAAGGGTCTGGGGGCAACAAGCCTGTACCCCTCTGGGTTCCCCTTGCCCACACGCCTGTCTCCTTCCCTTGCCCACTGTGGCTCTCTCTTTACTTTTCAAACTCACTCTGCATTGGTGCGCGGAGGGAGCATTTGATATTCATAATCTGGTTCAGAGAAGGTCCCGAAGCCCTGAGTCACCGTATGGTTTCCATGGAAACAGACTTGTTCTGAGGACTCGGTGTAGCGCGGCAGTGGTGGGGGAGAAGGGAAACATATAGTAAAATCGGGCTCCACAAGTGTGGCAGGAGTTGGGCCAACTCCTTTTGATAGGGGCAGGGAGAGGCTGGGCAAGGGTCTAGGGTCCCTGCAGGAGGGGCTGCCTCTCCCCACCCGCTGGGGTCCCCACCCCGGGAGCTGCTCAGCTTTCCTTGCCGCTTTTGGCAGATTGCTGCTTCTCCCAGGGGCCTCCTGGTGAGGTGTCCAGGCTCATCCCTGCCGCCCTGTGCCTCACTTTCCTCCTCTGTGAAATGGGGAGGAAAGCACACCTACCTCTTGGGGGGCTGTGAAGGTCAAATCCATTGATAAGAAGAACGCACTCATAATCATGGAGCCATTGCAGGTGTTTAGTAAGTGTCATTACTGCTAATTCAGGGGGTTGGAAGGAGCACCGCCTGTGTGGTCACCTGTGTCTGTCCTCTTGTGCAGGTGGTCTTGACATCGGTCAGGGCTGGGCTCTTGCTTCGGAAGAGCTCCCCCCAGCCGCCCCCGCTGGGAACCAGCCATCCATTCCTTCCTCCCACAAAGCATTTATTTAGGTTGCTGCGGGCCCGTCACCGTGCTAGGGAGGCCTGGCTCGTGTTCAAACCCCACCTGTCTAGGAGCCTTGTGGGAACAAATTCTCCCAAGTCCAGATGGATGGGCAGCTTTTCTGCCTCAGCCTCCTTGGGATCGGGCCAGAGGTAGAGGGACAGGACAGGTCCAGGCTCTGAGGATAGAAGGGTTTAGGGTGGGGCAGCTCTTCCTGATCCTGGAGACCCCTCTCCCTCCTGATGAAAGAGGGATCAGGAACTCTCCAGAAAGAAGAGAGACCCTACCCTCCTCCCCCCATCTCCCCAGGTGAGAACTTCGATTGCTGAAGGGTTCCCAGCACACTCCACGAGTCTGGACAGCTCGGAGCTCTAGCCGGAGTCCCCAGCTCATGTGTCATTGCCCAGCCAGCTGGGAGAGGGGCCTGACCCCTTACCCTGCAGCACCTGCCTCGGCAGTGTCATCAGAGCAGTGGCTTGGGGACTTTGTGGGCACTAGGGATGGCTCAGCCTGTCTCCCTCACCAGCCCTTCTCTGCCTTGCCACCCTCCTCTCCCTGGCCTGCAGACAGCCCCTCGTCCTGTCCTCTAAGGTGGGCTTCAGCTCCGAGCTCCCTCCCTTACCCCCCCCCATCACTACCAGCTCTCTGAGAGCAGCAGAGATTCCTAGAGATGCTTCCGTATCTCTCAGCCCGCCCTTCTCTCTTACAGATGGGAAAATCGGTTCAGGTTTGCTCCTAGGACCCACACCCAAGCTAGCGGTGGCTGCTCCCAGCTCCACCCCAGCCCTGGGGATGGCTTTCCCTCGCCCCTGGCTCTCCAGGTGGCCCCAGGTGCTGCCCAGCCCACACATCCACCCTCCTGGCCCCCCAAATAGCAGTTTCCTGACAAGCTTCTCCACCCCCCCCCCAGGTCTCTCCGGACCGCTTTGCTGTCCTCATTGGTGTTCACAACACCTTCCAATTTAATATCCTCTGCAAATTTCATTAACGGACTGTTTACTCCCTCTTCTCAGGATCATTAATGAAGATGTCAGATAAGATCTGACCCAGTGCCGGGTCTGGGCTGTCCTGCAGCCCCTTCCGCCTGGGCATGCCTCCTCCACTCAGGACCCTTGGGACCTGCCCCCCTCCTGCTTCCGGCCCCCTGACAAGTGCTGAGGGCCAAGTCTGTTTGAATTAATTTTGTAAGATTACTCGAGGCGCTGTATCAAATGCTTTGCTAAAAATCAAGATATATTATCCTGCCTGCATTTCCTTCATCTACCGGTCTTGTAATTCTATCAAGAAAGCTATCAAGTTTGTCAGGCATGATTTGTTCTTTATAAATCCCCACAGTGCCGCATGGGGGCACAGAGTTCCCGCGTTTTCTAAATGTTTAGAGATTCCCTCTTTGTGTTTGCTCCTTGATTAGAGCTGGAAGGCTGTGAGCTGGGAATTGTGGGGAAAGTGCGTCTCTTCCTCTGGGATGGGGAACGGGGCACAGCTCCTCCCTTCTCTGGGTCTCTGCTGGGGGCAGTGAGTTTAGTGCCCATGGAGTACCTCGCAGCTGCTGCGGGCCCCAGCCTGGGTCGTGAGGGTGGGGACGCAGGGCTCGGCTCGAGGCTGGATGTTTTCCCTCAGGGTTCTGCAGGCAGATGAGGAAGAGAGATAAGTCTGAAGCCAGCATTGGGGAAGTATCGTTAACTGAGTGATTGCCTTAGCGCTGTGCTCTGATCTCATTTAAGCCCCTCCCCTGCCCTGGGAGGTGGGTGTGGGCTCCCTCTCCGGTACCTGGGACTCTGAGGAGGGTAAGGCTGTCCAGGACCCAAGGTCTGGGTTTCTCACGTGCTGCTATGTTGCTCCTAACCACTCAAGGCATCAGTATAGGGTCAGGAGATCTAATTGGGGTGGTTCAGCCAGAGGGTTTCAGGAGGTTGGAGGGGGAAGGAGGGGAAGCCTTCAGGAAGAACCTGGGAGAGGTAAGGACCTCACACACCGTGCTCCGTAGCCTGAGTCCAGTTCCCCCGCTAGGCACTTCTGAGCTGTAGGAGCGAGTCACTTAACTTCTGTGAGCCTCTGTCACCTGTGTCATGGAGCCTGCTGTAGTCCTTACTCCCGAGCTTGGAGAGACTGTCCAATAAAATGGGGCATGAAAGGTGTGTCACACGGTTCTAGGCCCTCAGCGATCAGCCATTATGACCTGTCCAGGTCCTTGTTGGTGTGGGGCAGGGACACTCATCCGATTTCTTGTGCCCAGTGGGTGGCTCTCCCTAATGCTTCTCATCCAGGAGACAGCAGTGACAGGGTAAGCCACACCAGCATCCATGCACAGGGGCGTCCGCGCAAGCTGCTGTGGGCTGGTGGTCAGGTCTAGGCTTAGGGAGCAGCGAGACCTTATCCTGGTCTTGAGCCCAAAC